AGGCTTCTACAACTCAGCTTGAACTCTGGTTATTTAGTTTGTTGTCAAAATTGGTGCTTTGTGAATAGCTCAAGCTTGGCTTGCGAGAAATTTGTTTATAATACTAAACAAGACAAATTTTGAATTGGGCTCGTTAAGAACTACATAGAGCACGACTCATTTCATTTTCATTTTCATTTACCCCAGTGCCGCAAAGGCTCCCACCTACGGTGGGGTAAGGGGGTCGGATGTACGCAGTCTTACCCCTGTACTAAAGCAATCCGGATGACCCATAGTGAAAATCGCGCCCAAAATTGCATGGACTGACTGCTGCTTCATAACAAAGAAGCGCAGACAGTTTAGTGAGCCATTTTGCTTTATCCCATCATATTCTCAAGCCAAAAAATAATGAATCTTTGGCTCCATTGCAAATGATGGAAACATAGAGCACGACTATACAACCTAACTCAACTTTGAGGTTAAAACTTTAGCAAACAACACTAATAAACACACTTCCACATAGAAAATGTTGCATCTATGCAATGTGTGGTAAGTCGTAATGGAGTGCAATGGAATCAATTGGTAGTTGAAACATCTACTACATTTTGTTTTCTGAAGGCAGGTATTTCCTCTTACTACAAATTGATTTCATTACATTCTATTACAACTTAGAAAATGTTACGTTAGCTCATTGATTTCAGGATCACTTAGTTATATTAGTTATTAAGATTTATTAATTGCATATGCACTATTAAACAAAACAAGCTGGAACTTACTACCCAACTGATTAACGAACTTGCATATATAGCATTATTGACAAATCAATGCCCTACATAGTTCCTGAATGACTTGGTCCATTTACAACCAGGTTGCCCTGTTGTGTTTCTTTAGTTCTCTTTTCTTAATTGACATGACTTGACAAATTTCATTTATCAATATATAGGAGGAGAAATCAAAAGGCAAAGTTGTTGCGTTTCGGCCAAATATCCTTATGCTTGGGCTATCTCCCTCTTCTTTCGTTCTTCGCGCAGTTTCAAATGTCCACACAAATGACTTGGAGCAAACATTACTGGTGAGTGGCGTGGTTTTTATTTGTAGCATGAAGTTCAATTTGCTAATTACAAGTAATTGCCTTTTCAATGATTCTTTAAATTGTGGTTTTCTTTTTTATCTTTCCTGCTGAAAAATGTTAAGTGGAACTTCTATACTTGTCTATTTGTTGTCATTAGTAATTTCACTTGATGAAGTTAATGTGTACACCATAATTAGTGGAAGAGGTGTATGCATAAACTATTATATTAGAATATAACGAACCAATTATACCCCTCTCTCAACGTGTGCTTAATTGTTGCAATTTTAATTGCTTTCTAAAAAAGAAATAACATTTGACAGGCACTACCGTTCTGTGATGCCCTGAAGCTTTTGGCTTACTTGAAGGATTGGGCATATATACCTGAGAAGGTATATCTATGATTTCTGTGACAACTCTTTCTGCCATCATCATAGTTAGTTGCATAGTGTTATCTGTGCATAATTACTGTATTGTTTCAGAAGATCCGTACCTCACATTTAGTTATAAATGCTTAAGGCTATGTTTATATCGTGGAAAATTGTAGCTAAGTTGAAGGAAAAAAGTATGATCTTTTGGTTTGGTTTTACCTTGGAAAGAATGAAAGAAAATCGCATTTGGTTAAAATTTTAAAACTCTTTGAAATTTTACATATTTATATTTCCTATCTTAATAAAATAGTAATAAAAAACAGTTTGAACAAATATTTAAAGTAGATTTATTGAGTTTGAGCTAAATTTTTACATTTACTCCAAATAATGTTTCCCTATCAATTTCTCTATTCCAAAGAGACCCCAATATAATAATGTTTCTGACTAAAGATATAGAGGCAAAAGGAGTATAATAGTTTTTTTGTCCTTGTACCGTCATTTGGTTATATATTCTGCTTTTTGACCATGTTTTGGCAGGTGGAGCTTGTCTGTAGAATGACCACAGTGTTGCTACAACTGCACCATAACCAGCTTGTTGCAACTGTATCTGCTAGACCTCTACTTTCGCTTCTCCAAGATGTAATCCCTACAAGAATTCAGGTATAACTTCATTGATCTTTCAATTTTATTTAAACTGTTTCTGAAGTGAAAACATTTGTTATGGGCTTATTCAAAGGAGTTCACTTTATGAAATTGAGGTCTGAATTGGTACAGGAATGCAAAGATACACTTGGCTTTAACCTGGCTGCGATGGATCATCTCAAGGTAAGTAATGCTTTTTTTGTCTAGCCTGTTTACTTCAGAATTGAAATTTTTACCCACAATTTTAGATTCGAGCCAATTATTCAAAAATTCCCACTAATGTAGCCAACCCTTGTTAGCATGTCACATTGGTTTCAAATCAGCAAAATTTAAATGTTCATTCGGTTAACTCTTGTGTAAGAGTAATGTTTGAGTGTTTAAATTTAACCACCAGGCACGAATGTGACATGCTGCTGGTGAGACTCGATTTTGGCCTGGGTTGAAATTTGTTTTAAGTTTTTTAGCAGTTGAATTTTAAATTTCCTGGCTACATTGACATATTATTAGGAATGAGCTGGAACTCAAAATTTGCCTCAAACTGATTCTCTTGATGTTTACCCTGATATACTTTCACTCTCTAATCTCTATCTCAGCAAATGATGGCATTAAAGTCAGATGCACCTTTCAGAGATGCAAAAACAAAATTATTAGAAATACGTTCCCGCAACACAAAGCGAATTGAGGCGAGGGCAGAAACGAAGGAAGAGAGGAAGAAGAAGAAGAAACAAAAGAAGTCTGATGGAGGGCATGTCTGGTCCTGATTTTTGGTTGGGAAATTTTGTGCACACGAAGGCACACCATTGATTATTTAAATTTAGTGGATTAGCAATACCACAGGCATTTCCATATGAGAAATTTTGTATCGTGATCTAAGCTAGATTTGTATTCACACTATTTACAACATTGATCATTTGATCCTAACAAAAGTATCAATATTGGAAAAATATGATTATTGGAAATCGTACATGATGCCGTTATACACTTATACAGTTATACCCATGAAAACCTAAAGTTTGGTAATCTTGGGTTTGTGGTGGTTTTAATTTTTCAAACCCATGTGCTATTTCAGTAAACTTGGTCACTACTGAACAGCTCTAAACGTTTTAACTTAAATTTTTGCCTTATAAAGAACTAACAATGGCTTAATGAATTTAACCTTCCTTTTAGCCATTTTATATTCTCAGAGCAATAATGCCATTTATAGTTTGTACAGCTATCGACATAAAACTGTAGTTTGAATGCGTTTTGTTAAACTACGGAGTCCCATCCTAAAAGTTCAATATAGGACTTTATTACTTCATAATTTTGTGGTGTAGGACTTTGACACCCATCCTTCATTTTTTCACCGGTTTGTCATTATCATTGTTTTATAATCATCGTAATTTTCTTATAGAGGGCCACACCATGATTATGGATCGATTTGAATTGAATACCATGTTAAAATATGAAGTTTCATCCTAAAAGGTTAAATTGATAAGAAAAGTAACATAGATCTTAATGTAGCATTTTATTATTTCATAATTTTTCAGTGTGGAACTTTAACACATTTAAAAACTAAAAATTAAACATTGACTATAATACTATATGCACAGATTCATTTATTTCCTCATGAAGATAATAGGCAAGGTTAGAGAAGTATCTTGTAGCAAGACTTGATCCATGCCCAACTACACAAGGAGTTGAACTTTTCAAAAGATAATCATTATTCCTGGCTCACCCTCATGTGCTTCATGCAGTAGGTAAGTAGGTGGGAAAAAGCTTCAATTCCTAATTTCTAGTCAATAACAATCTGTAGACTCAGGACATATGTAGGATAAACATGCCAATTGCATATCTGTATGCAAACTGGTGTGGTTGAGTCAGCAGCACCTACTTTGAGTGAATTCAAATTGCTAGCTGACACATGTGATGTCCCGCCATGTCCTCGGTCGAACAGTATTCCGACAGAGCACGGAGCATAATGGAGGACCCGCCAGTTCATGTGGCGAAACTCCGTCCAGGGCCAGGTAGAAAATAAAATGCTTGAGCAGCATTCTTTATATATCTTTATTGTAGGATGAAGCAAATGGCATGCTTAAATAATTGTATTGTTCTTGATGAGAGAGTGAGAGACTATAATTGAATTAGCTATGTTGCCATAATCAATGTAATGATAGACTTTTATTGAATTCAATTGTTGCCTACTTGCCTGCTCCAACTTTCAAAGCTGTCTTTGTTCAATTGCTAAAAGCTGTCTTTGTTCATTTGTCAAGCATCCATAATGAAAACATCCTTAATGAAAATTATTTGCAAATTGCAATGGGTATCTTAGCTATACGAACATAGAGTCCTCTAATTGTTTGTACATATTAAAACAACTGATAAAGTTACATATAAAAATTGTGGACATAATACTTTAGTATATCACCGAGATATTTATATGTTGGAGAGAATTCCCTAAATAGGAGTAAAAACGTTTTGAAATTCCAAAATAGGACTATTATGTTTTTTTTGCAAGAATCTAAATTAATTATTTAAATCATTGTTCAAAGCAGATACAATAAAAGACGGTGGAGAATAAAGCAAAGATCGCGAATCAGATAAAGAACAAGCTGCTCTGGCTATGAACAATCTTATTCACTGAACGCTTAATATGACAAAAAGTAATGAACGAAAAATGCTTCGCCATTTCTCGAATGTCATCTCCTAGTAAACCAATCGAAGAACAGCTAGAACCGTGCACAATCTCTCCAATAGCTCGGGACTATCATATTTTTTATTTTCCTGAATAGGAGTAAATTTATGACAAGTTTGGCATTACTGGACTTTAAACATGACATGTTTTTACTCCTATTTGGGACAATTTTTGTATACGTTGTGGGACAATTTCTGTATAGGTTGAGGAATGCTTTGTGTACACGCCTCACTTTTACATGCTTAAAAAGACAACTGGTTTAAAAATTGGCTTAAAAAGACTACAGTTCCATCACAAAGGGCATGCCGTTGTGAAGACTGATTACAGCATAGAAACATGAAATATCACAAAACCTCCTAGAATGAAAATTCCAAATGAAAGCTGATGTAAGTCGCACATGAAAACTTGTATCATATCAAACATAAACCGGTATGACTGGGTACAAGACTTCCTTTTATTAAGGTTGGTTATGAGGATCCTGAGCTATAAACATTGGTAAGGTTGTTTGTGATTCATCAGTTTATTCCATCTTAGCTTCTCGTCCCTTTTGCATCTTCGCACAGTATTCGAACAAGCTCCCGTCAAAGCATCGCCTGATGGCTTCTTTAGATAGCATTCCATCGCTGTCTTTGGCGAGAAGATACAAAATTCCCCACTCCAATTTGGATGTGACCCACCCGAAGACGTCGAACGTGTTGCGATTGCCCTGCGTCATCTCCCACAGCTCTCCTAACGTCAGCTTGTCCGGCACCGTCCTTGCATACTTGCTGAAGATGTTCTCAAAGTTCACAGGAAGAAACCTGAGCACATGAAATGTAATGTCAAAACCACTCACACACCTTCCTAAGTTCCTTGAAACCAAATACAGCCTAACAATGGAAAGGAATACTTGCCTGCCCTCTACATCATAGGTCCCCGTATCACTCCCGTGCTTGTTCTTATGTATGTTTTCTATGTATATTGGGAAATAAAGTGAAGGCATCCATCCCTGCAAAAATGACATATAAAGCTATGAGTTTCTTTGAAGTTGAACTATTATAGAATGGAACCTAGGTAGTATGGGGATCTATTCCTTTAGAACTTTTAAGGCATTTTAGAATTTACCTTCGAAAGACTCGTACAAGTACTTTCCTTGATTCTTAAATATTTCAAGTCCACTCCATTTGTTTAGATTTTTATATGAAATCCAAATAGTGGTACATTTTTTCACTTTCTTTTAGCCAAGCAAAATATATCTATGATTGACTTTAACTTTCACTTAGAAATGTGTACCTAGAAAAATAACATCTACTACGCACAGTAATGTACTACACATACAAGAAGACTAACACTACTTTGTAGCGGATGTGTCGTACTGTGGTTGGAACTAAAAGTTTAGAGTACACATTCTTAGTGGAGCTAGAGCCAAAACTTAATATCTAAGGTAGACTTTTATAGTTTAGCATATTCTTGAATATGTATATATACTAAGATATTTTTGGGCCACCGTTTAGCCCTCCCTAGCTAGAGAGGTGATTTTGATGGAACTAGAGGTGATTCTGATGGGTTCTAAAGTGTTCAAATGAACACCCAAATTTTTGAAAAACAAATAGGTATATATGTGTATATATAGTATAATTATTTATTACTCTTAAACTTTCTAGTTGTAAAAAAAATGACCTCTCAAAACTTGAATTTAATGAGGGCCAATCCAAGGGAGGGCCAATTCAAGGCAGGGCATTTTGAAAACAGTAGGGCCAATTCCGTGCTTGGAGGCTCTGACCCAATCCGAGGGAGGGCCAATTCAAGGCAGGGCATTTTGAAAACAGTAGGGCCAATTCCGTGCTTGGAGGCTCTGACCCAATCCGAGGGAGGGCCAATTCCCACACTAAAAAAAACAGTAGTTCAGAATAGACAATGTATAGTACTACGTATGTAAATTCCGCGCATTAGGCCCTTTGATATCAAACAAAGGTTTTGGCTCACACCGAAAAATGCTAGATTCGCCCCTTGTGACGGCTATTTTAAAATCATGGTAACAAATTTTACCATTTTATAATGTGCACTATGAGCATAATAGTCTCAAATGAATACCACCACTTATTAGTTCTTATCAGTTGTGTTATACTAGTACTAGTATAAAAGTAATATGCACCAGCCAGGAGGAGACAAAGCATTTACTGGAAGAGACAAGTAGCTCATTGCCCCATGAATAACAAGTGCTATAAGGAAGGAGATAATGACATTGAAACCCATCTGACGGCTGGCATAGTAAGTCTCGGTTGGGTAAATAATTCCATCGTTGTCTAGGTCGAAGTATGCTACATGCTGTTGGAGGACACTCAAGTTGTTATGCTTCCGTCCCTGCGTCCCGTTTGGATGCTCCGTATCCGGTGCCACACTCGCCCTTGCCAAATCTGAAAACAGAAAGGAAACCCCATACACGCCACATCATCGGCCAAAATCCAACCCATATACTGTATTAGAAATGAAAGTCTATCACATAATGTGAACTATATATTTTGCATTACATTATATAACTAAAATAAACATATACTCCGAATGTAGTATATTTATACATAAGTAGTAGTACATTGCAAAACATATGAATAAGTAGTTAAAACTGTGTTCGTAATTACTATGACTTGTAGTAGTAATAAATCACATCACCACAAAATTGTATCCCTCCTTTGTCTAATTCATCATATTGACTTTTCTTTATCAATGACTAATCATACTTTTGAATACAAATGTACTCGGTATTTAAATTATAAAAGTACTACATATATCATGAAAAGTTTGAAAACTTTCTATTGTTAGCTTTGACAAAAAAGGTAAATTATTCAAATATTAATATGTGAAGTTATGGGAGGCTGAGGGGCTATATAACAACGATAGAAATAACTAGCTAGCTAGCAATGACTGTAACTACACTTTAAGGGGGTTTCGATAAGAGTTTTGAAACCCCTTAACAATATATATAAATTAACAATCACAATAATAAATGAACATTTACGGAATAAGTTTAGTAAGTTTAAGAGTTAGGTATGGAAAATTATATCAACTTATCAAGTGAAACGATTAATTAGAATACCCCTGAATAATTTGTGTTAGTAAATACTTTCGATAATTGTTCAACAATTTGTATCAAATCAATTGTAAATGAAAAAAGTAATAATCCACAAGGGAGACCATGTTAGTCAAGACTTCGGTTTCATTGGGTTAGTATTTTAGTGTAGAATTTTAAGTCATAAATTAGTACACATAGCCTTTTTATTTTGAGTTCTAAATCTCACATTCAAGCTTCGTTACTAAAACTCATGCATATAAGTATATAACGACATTGGTCCTTATGCACCAAATTTTGAATTATAGACTCTAAGTCTCTAACTATGCTAAATATTTCGAACTTCAAATTTCAAAACAGGCTGATTATTATATTTGAACCGTTTTATATTTTGAAAAGTTTACTATCACCATTTTTAGTCCGGAAGGCATGTTGAACTATACTCCACCAAGGCATCAGATATTGATAAAAAATCAAGTGTTAGAGTGACCATTCAAAATTTTGATAAAAAATGTCATATTGGTTGACACTTTTGATGTATGATTTCTATAATTTGTTGTTCAAAATTAAATGTGTATGTATAGAATTGTCACATCGACCAATACACTACTTCCGTTATGAGGAATGATCATGTACATATGGATGTACGGAGGGCTCCGTACGGACAAAGTCATTAGAGGCCCTTCCGGGTGGAATTTTTTGATGAAATTTTTTGAGCATGTTCTCCATCAAGTCTAGTTTATCCATACCAAATTTCAGCTCAAAATTCGATCGGGAAGGCAGTCATATAATGTGCAGTATATTTCAAGAATTTATTTGACTGCCTTCCCGATGGAATTTTGAGCTGATATTTGGTATGGATAAACTAGACTTGATGAAGAACATGCTAAAAAAAATTCATCAAAAAAATCGACCGGGAAGGACCTCAGATGGCTTTGTCCGTACGGATGGCTTTGTCCGTACGGAGCTTCCTGTACATCCATATGTACAGGAACAGCCCTCCTTCCGTTATTTTTTAATCCCAAAAGTTTGACTTTCGTCAACACAAAACTTTCGCACAACTTTGATTGTTCACATTAAGAAAAAAATTATGGAAGTTCACATTAAAGAAAACAACTAATAATATTATGGAAATAATAATTTGATTATATCATCATCATTTTCATTTACCCCTGTACTAGGGGGGAGAGACTGTTTCTGGATGAGTCATAACGAACTAAGGGGGGAGAGACTGTTTCTGGATGAGTCATAACGAAACTGACTGCTGCTTCATAACAAAAAAATTATTTAAGTATTGTGATTACTACTTCCATCCCACTATGTTTAGGACACACTATGTTTGGGACTATGTTTGGGACAAATAGTGTGTCACTATGTGTGAAATTGTTTGATATTGAATTGATAAAGTGTGAATAAGCGAACAAGGTAAAACGAGGTAAAACGAGACAAAGGTAAAAGACAAAATTAGGGGACAATGGAGTATTGTATATACGAAGTATAAGAGAGGAAGTAGTAACCAATTTATAATAAGGTATTTAAATTGAATTTAAATTTAAAGAGATATGAATATATAAAATCATTAACTACTTGATTGTCAATTAATTTATAATGATATGTCATGGTAATTAAAGAAAAACTTGAAAGCCGCACCGGAAGAAGAACTTACAAGGCTTAGGAATGGAATCTTCAAGGTCGGTGCGGACCTTCCGCTGCACGGTGACCGGAGCCAGCGGCGCCTCCGTGGCGAGGGCGGTGTTGCGGTCTACAGTCGCCATATCTTCTTCTGCGTCGAGATCAGTCTCTCCGATCAACACTGAGTAATGGTATGTGAAGAAGGACATGTATCACATATAATTCTATCGACCGCTGGTTTATTATTACGTACAAAAAAATATTAGTAGGAAATGATCGAATTCGTGGCAAGCATGCACATCGCCTCATTTCTAGAACCGCTTCACAAGGATGCTCCATTTTCTGCCACGTGTTGCCATGGACCCAACGGGCCATTTTTTTACAGTTTCTTATTCTCACCCAAGTACCACAAAACTTGGGGTTGCATGCGGACATTGACTAGGTAAAATTCTTGAAAAAATTCATTTTTCGTTACGTACAAATATGTGTCTGTATAACTTTTGTGTAAATTGTTTACCCCGTGAATTTGGCATATCAAATCGAGTTTGGTTTTTATCGGTTTTCACTTTGATATTATGAAATACTTCCTCCGTTCTTTTTTAGATGCAACGATAAACATTTCACACTTGGCAACACACGTCTTTGACCGTAACTATATTTAATCTCTATTAATAAAAAATATTTAAAAATTAAATTTTGAAAATTCGTAATGAGATGAATTGAACGATTTTTTTTTTAAAAAATAATTTTTTTTTATATAGAAACATGTTTATTAAATAAGAGATAAAATACATGGTAGGGAGATTAGACCAAAAAAAAAATTAAAAATAATTTTCATAAAATAATACTATAAAATGTAATCAAAGTAATATATGTGAATAGTGTAAAATTCAACATGTTGTGATTAAAAAGAGACGGAGGATAGTATATGAAATATGAAATCCAGTTCGGTTTGTTGGAATACTCTCAAAAAAAAAATTGGTGACTCCTAACCGCTTAACTTCCAGTTTCAAAAGTGAAAAAATGTGACAATCTCTTCCTCTATTTTTATATCACATTATCCTTTTTTATGAGTTTCATTACTTTTGTCTCTCATATCGATAATATTGAGTGGTCATGATTCATCTTTACTTTATTATTAACTATTTATTCACTCATACATTCCTCTCAATTTATGTGTTTTACTTTTCATTTTTATTGTCCCAAATATCTTTTTATCTTTTCAATCACTTTATTAATAATGTGTCACGCCAAAACAAAATACAAAATATATAAAATGGAACAAAGGTAATATTATATTTTTCAATAAACTTATCACTTCATTTGTCTTCAGGAACTGAGATAGTATTATTGTTATTTTGGAAAAACTAATTCAAATAACTCAAACTTTGAAGGGGTGTGAGGTTAAAGCCATAAACTTGCTTATGCAATTTAAATAACTCAAACTTTACATAAAAAGATATTAGAACACTATGGTCATATAATAATTCTTTTTAAAAGGTAAATTTATTGAAAGAAAAACATATAATCATGACGCTAACATAACTTTCTATACAAAATTAGGAATATTTAAATTTAATATGCAAGTTAATGATATTTATCTCACCCCTTCAAAGTTTGAGATATTTGAATATTTTTCCCTTTTATTTTTATGTTTATTCGGGAAAGATATTTGGTCTCAATTGACATTGGGCTGAATACATAATTGGGCCATATTTATGTTTATTAGTGCATCAAACCAAGTCCATTCCTTACGAACTCGCCTAAATTAAACCTTTCAGGAGCTTGTTCCCAGACTCGATTCTAGAACAACTTTATACGCTTTGGAAATCAGAGATCTATTATTACGCAATGGAAACTGATACGGCAGCTGAATCAGCAGAGGCTCC